GCGATAGATACCTTGATAACAATATGGAAGCGTTGTTTGCCATTAATGGGTGGCTATTTAACCAATAGTGGAGTTGTAAGTTTTTTTTTTATATAACTAATTATTATTATGAAAATTTGAGATTTAAATGTTAGTCACAAATCGATATCTAGGTGGATTTAAAAAGGTTACAATATATGGTTACAGAACTTGGTAAACAAGAAGATGATATTTTTCTTCGACGATATCGAAGTAAGTATTTAATCATTTATCTATTTTTCATGAAACATTTGTAACAAATTGATTTTAGTCTATCATTAATTTATAATTAACATTTACAATTATTGATCATTAGATGAACAAAGACGAGCTCCGCAACCTCTTCCTGCCCCGAAACGTCGAAAGGTCAAGGCAAATAAAGTTATAGACGTTTATCAGTCATTTGAATCACCCCAAAATGATGTTGATAAATCGCAAATTATATCCTTTGATTTATAACAATCAATATAGAAGTACAAAATAATTTTTAATTCCTTAACTAATGAATACGCTACATATAGCTTGCCTCATTTGCCAATAGGGATGCCCCTTCTCCCAGTAAAAGGATTTGACTCGCACCTTCGTGCGAAGTCAAATCAAGAGGTAGTTGCTAATAGACAAGAATTACGTATAGCTAATATAAATGCCGCTCAATTATTAAAAGCAGAATTAAGTAGTTCCGACACCACTACTTCAACAGCAAATATTAATATAACAATCGATAAAAACTCAAATTCATCACTTCAAATGGATTATGGTAGTTCTGAAGTTTCAGTTAAACAAGATATCGTTGCCAGTAGCGATGAGGCTTTATCAACATCATTGACGTTGCCATCAAAAAGAAAAAAAGATGAGATTGATGATGAAATTACAACGACGATTGAAGGAGATGTTAATGATGATGACGATAATTTACCAAGCACGTCAAAAGATGAAGATGAAGATCATGCTGATTCAATTAGGTAATTAACAACTATAGACTACTTATAAATATCGATAACTTTAACACTTTTAAAATATAATTATTG